CAACTCCCCGCACCACGCAAAGTCCTTGGGGTGAGCGTCGCGGGCCCACACTAACACGTCCCAAGCCCAATTTCGATGGAGATTCAAGGCCACGTCGGGCGAACACGAATATTGGCTGAACTTGGTCCGTGACGTCAGTTCTGGAAAAGCCGCGAAGTCAGGCCATCGCTTCGATCCGTTGAGTGCCAAGTAGTCGAGCACGACGTCCGACCCGCGCGCCGCATCTATCATCTTCAGAGAACACGACTCCTGGGCCAGCTCGGCCCAGAAAGGGTGGGGATTACCGTATAGTTACTGAAAGACGCTGTGCCTCTCCATGCGATACAAGTCCCCCCCCAAAAGCAACCACGCCTTCTTGGCGCGGCTCAGACCTGACTTGGGATGGTTAGCAGACTGGTCGACCTAAGGACAAGAATTGAAGGACCCAAGCAGAAAACAGCGTCGACTTACCACATACCCGGCCTCGCCGTAATGCCCATACCAGATCCAAGCGTATCGAGACCACACTACTTTGGCATGTCGTTCCCAACATCGCCGCAATCACTGGTTCCAATCCCGTGGGCAACGGTCACACCCGGCAAGGACTGAAAGGACTCGACCCAACGCTGACACGACTTGGAGGACCGCAACTGCAGATACGCCTTCTTCGCCTCGGCTGACAAGTCCACGTGGTCCAGTCGCTTCACCGCCTCAGCATCCAACACGATTGGGGCCCGAGGAATGCTGGGTGCGACAGACTTTGCCTATACCAGACCCTCAGCTTCGCGCTACTGACCACGCGTCGACTTAGTTTCGACTTTGTCATCGGAATTTGGTGGAGGAGTATGAGTTGCCGGCAGGTCGTCTTCACTGCTGCGATCGAAGGTGGTTTGTTCAAGGGCGAACATCTTGAACGACGCTTGGAACAGCCGCTGCCGACGCGTATCATGTGCGGTCAACCAAGAAGTCCTTGTACTTCTCAAATGTATCAGACGGCGCGAGAGCTCCTGGGTTGGTCACCAAACTGCTCAATTCCACCGCGCCTTGAAAGGTCTGGGAATCAGCCCCAACTCGTTCCTGTGCATCCACCGCCGACTGGATCTTAGACACGGCGTCGCGAGCCTGACACCAGCTGGTCAAGTTGGCGGGGAGGAAGGCGTTCAGAGTCCGACACGCAGCTGGAGCCCGATCTCATAGGTCGCGTACGGGAACTTCTAGATCGGCTCTTTCTCGTACCTGTCAATGTAAGTCCTGTATTCTTGTAGCTTGGACGCGCGAATCCCGTGTTTGTGTCCGTCCACGTACTCGACTAGGTATTCTGGTTCGAGTGATCGGGGCGTCCTGCGCTTGTCCACCAAGCGGAAGATGAGGGAATCCGTCGCGGTGTAGGCGACATCGTTGTCGCCGAAAGTCACTCGACTAGTGAAGCTGGATTCCGGTAGGTAGTCGATCGGAGTCATCATCCGGAATGTCGTCGTTGAACGGCCGAGAGTAGTATCTGCGGAAGGGTTTAAGTCGGTCTACATTGACCGTCACCATCTTGTCTGGGTGCATCGGTATGTCGACTTTGTACCTGTTCGACCCCATCTTTCGGTCAATCCGGTAGGGTCCATGTCAGTGGCATGCTAGTTTGACTTGGCGAAGTATTTGTACACCGCCGTCTGGTCGTCATAAAGGACGGGATTCTGACCTGACTTGGCCTTCGCGTTCTTGTTCTGTCCCGCAATGAGTCGCTGCTCAACCAGCGAGTGGGTCTACGTCCAGGACGCGGCTAGGCGTCGTTTGTATTGCGGCAGATCGTCGGATTTCCATGCAACGTCCACGTTGAGGAACGCTAAGTCGAAGGGTAGCGTGGGGTCGCGTCCAAATAGACAGAAGTAAGGCGAATCCCCCAGGGCTTCTTGATGTGAGGTGCGTTAGGCAAACAGGAGTCGGGGCAGATTTGAGGGTGATGGCCATCACGTCATTCCATTTCGGGGCTAGGAATGGTCGACAACAAATGACCAGGCTCCGAAACGTAGAACTTCTAGCCTAGAGACTCTTGACGTCCCTCTAGAGGGACGCCTTCATGTTAGATAGCTACATCCTTATCTCTCTTTAACCTGCATGTTGGAAGTCACCTACTTCCTTTCCATCCTGCGCTACTCTTGGTGAAGCCGAGAATATCCGACCCTCAAGTTCAACCCCCGGAACTTCCCTTTTAATTTGTGCGCTGACGCCTTCCCCCGTGACCGTCACAATCGGTGTAATTTTCCGATTCCCTGACACGGCCAAATCCCACGCACGTTCTGCCGGCATGTTTCTCGGTAGAGAGGCGATATCGAAATCGTACAAACGAATCTTTGTTATGCATGCCATACATGGTGGAATCCAGACCCCATCGACGACGTCGATTCCAGTGTATTTCATATTGGCGACATGGAGCAATGTCCGAGTTGGCTCGGTTGCAAAAGAATCGACTAGGCGGAAAGTTTAGGCTCGGTCGTGGTACGCGAGGCCTTGGTGGTAGTCGGATACGGGGTACCCGTAGGCATGGTTGCCGTCGACTCGGTGGCAGTGATCGAAGATGGCTTGGCACCACACCAAATCATGCCATACGAAGCACTGTTGCTGTCGCAGTAGTCCTTGCCGTGGGACAAACACTCTCTCGTGAAGGGATAGAAGCACCCAGTGCAACTGCCGCACTGAGCAGGACGAGGAGGCGCCGGGGTACGATTGATCTTGGGGTACACGATGTTTTCGGCGACGTTGCACATGCCTCTGCCCCCCACACCGCGCTGGAGCCGGATGTAGCCGCGTTCGCCCCATGTGTCGCCCCACGAGTTGCGGAGCTTGTACGACTTCTCGTCATAGCCCACGGCGACGACGGCGTGGTCTGAGCTCGACCCAGGGCAATGCGTGATCACACCCTCGCGGTAGTTTTTCCAATCGATGTTGCCCGCTTCAACTGACACCGCCACAGGCTGCGTGTTGAGCGCCGTGTCCAGCGCCTCCTCGCTCCACGTGTAGACTGTCGCGCCGATGCTGAGCTTCTGCTTGGTACACGAGTGACTCTGGCACGTGCCAGTTAGACCGATGAGGCCCGACACGTACGGGTAGTCGCTCTCCAAGCAGAGCCCATCCTTCGACAAGTACGTCATGGCGCCCTGCGGCAACCCGCCGTAGCACCCCGCGGTACCATACTCGGTGGAGCAGCTCGTCACTTGCTGCTCGGACAGGTCGAGGCGCTTTCCCGTCACGAGGCAGTGCGCCATCTCGGCGGCACCTACTGCCGCGAAGACATAGCCCGTGTTGCACAAGCCTTGGCTGCCAATCACGGGGTTGACGCACTTGTTGGTAGTCCAGTCCACCGACGCCGCCTTGACGCTGCTCACGTTCAAATCGGCCTCGGGGAGCGAGCGGAACGCACTGCGGCTTTCCTGCAGGGACATGCCCTCCACGAACTTGTTGAACTCAGCTTGCGTCATGAGAGCAAACGGGTTGTTGTAGTCGAACGTGGCTTCGGGGTTGTTGCGACGAGCCTCTTCGATCGCGAGCTTGTTGTCGTAGAACCGCTGGAGCGCGTCGTCTTCGGCATCGTGGGGGGACATGCTCATCATGGCTTGGGGCAACACGCCCTGCGCCGCGGCGGCAGGTTCAAACTCTTTGCGCCACGCGGCGAGTTCGGCGCGGAGCACGGAGCGCTCCTCCGCCGAGAGGGTGCTCACGAACTGCTTGGAGGCGGCAGCGGACGCAGCGACGAGGGCAACAAACAACTTCATTGGAGTCGAGAGGAGTTGAATGCGAATTCAAAAGTGACTCTTGTTCACAGGAATCAACCAATGCATCTTGGAACGTTTCGAGGGTAGCGACGACAGCGCCGCTTGGATGCCTCAGAGCCTGGTTAATCCTGGTTGATGCTGTGCAGTTGCTTGGGGTTGTCGGCCTGTATCGCACCGTGGAGTCGACGTTCGGTACAGCTGAGTCGGTACATTGTGCCTCTCCTTTGGAAAAACAGGGTTCGTTGCCGACGAATGATCACAAACATGAAACTTTGCACGCCACTGCTCCTTCAATACGCATTGGCCGTTGTGATCTCCATTCCTTGTGAAGTGAGTCCACCTCGTCCAAATACTATGCTTGCTACCACCACAAAATGAGGGAATGAGTACGTCATGGAATCTAGCCACCGTAGTGATCGATCCCACATGTACGATCCGTGTTAATCAGATCAGAGGGAGCAATTTTCGAGTACAATCCGCAGCGTTTGCCGGTATTCTGAAGCCATTGCAACGTGACGTGGTTGCAACAACAGCAGGGCGTGATTCTAGTATGGATGCGTCGTTGTTGGGATGACGTCAACTGAAACGATGAACACCTCTTGAAATTTCGCGATGTGCCTCGGAAATGTCGTAATGATCGAGTTGAAATTACTTCGAGTTTTATTCCCCGTGTCTTGAACTTGTTCAACACGTAGCGAATCCAATCGGCTTGAGTGGACTTGGGTTGGTTGAAATTGGGCGGTTGTGGGCGAGTTCGGCCTTGCCGGACGAGTTTGAGTAATTGCCCCGGCTCATGCTCGTGAGGCACATCGCGAAATTTCAAGAGACGTTGCATTGGCTTCAGAATACCGGCAAACGCT